ACTGAACAACATTGGAATATAATTACAATGGAAATTGTAATGGAATAATAACATGTTTAATCTCTACTGGCAACCATAAGCCCCATGGGGTCAGGGACTGTCTGCATTGTTTACCAGTGTTATCTCTCAGCATCGAGGACCACGTCCTTCATATATACAGCAGGGTCTCTATAAGGATTTGTGGGAGAGGAGGCCGTGGGGTGAACCCTGACAAGGAACTCGGAAACCACAGATGGCTAGAGAGATGAGACCCTAGCCTAAGTATGTGTGTCTTGGAGGAAGGCTGCATCACACTGTCTGAAGGAGGTTCTCCAACAGGCACCCCCTATTTTCACAGCATCTATGTCTGCAACCTCTCATCTGAACTGCTGGATCACTACGAAAATTCAGGTTTGAGAGACGGTTATTATCCAACTACTCTTGTTCTCCAGGGAGCTCAATTTAAATAGGTTCTCTCTATTTCTGCAGAAAATAAAGCACTTAAGTTAACACTGTTAGCATATTTGATTCTTCAAATTTAACACCTTGAGTGCATTTCCTTGCTACATGGAACAAAATAATGACCCTTCCTGGCCCACATTCAGCTATCTCATGCTCCCAGATACTTGATGAGGATTTCAGCCAGTGGCCACAAACACCAGTTTTCAACATTCAGTGGGAACCATAGTCAAGCCCCAGACAGAGATGTTGTAAGAATGCCTCTTGCTATGAGATTTGCAAAGTCCTCTGCAAGGCTGATTTTCCCCCTTGCCACTTGATCTGGTGGGTATACACACGGATTTTGGAAGACAGCTTTCTCATTATAAGGGAATAACAATAATGATAATGAGGATCAAGCTGAGTACTTTCTATGTGTCCTGTATTATTTGACACATTTTATGTGGATCCATTCATTCAACCCTCCAACAACCCAGTGAAATCTTCTTATCTTCATTTACAGATGAAGCTGGAGCACGTGAGGTTAAGCAACGTGCCCAAGATATAGTGGCAAGAAGTGGGACCAGGGTTCCAAGCCAGGCAGTGGGGTCCTAACCCATGTGCACAGGCTGGAAACCAATCCCATAAAGATGTCCCTTAGTAATATCAGTCCTGCACTGAGAACCCACAAGTCCTGCCCAACCCCACACAGAGAGCTGTGCATCCTTCTCTCCCTCCAGGCAATGCAGAAGGCACCTGATAAGGTCTGCGGCAGCCTGCGCGCCCAGCAGGTACCTGGAATCAGCCCTGAACATCTGGTTGAACCTAACCTCAAGCTACATGGGGCATACCATGTGCTCCATCCATTGACCCAGGACAGTGGACAACAGTTTCTGACTTAAGACTCCTTCTGAGGAGAGATCATTTCAGAAAAAGATTCTTTTCACAATAATAACACCCTGAAAGTATATATCTTTTAAAAGGGTTATAAGAGTCTTTGAATGTTTAATTGTCACACAAGGCACTGTCATTCTCATCTTACAGTTGAGGAATTTGAGGGTTCAGAGAGGTTGAGAGGTTAAGCAAAGTGAAGTGAAAGTCGCTCAGCTGTGTCTGACTCTTTGCAACCCCATCGACTATACAGTCCATGGAATTCTCCAGGCCAGAATACTGGAGTGGGTAGCCTTTTCCATCTCCAGGGGATCTTCCCAATCCAGGGATTGAACCCAGGTCTCCTGCATTGCAGACGGATTCTTTATCAGCTGAGCCTGAGAGGTTAAGAAACTTACCCCAAATTACCTGTAAGAAAGGGAAAGTTAACAATCAAGTGCTAGGTATTCTGTTGCACAATTTATAATTGGTTCTCATTTAAATTTCAATAAGACGTGAATTATTTTTACCCCCTCATCAGCATCAGAGAGGTTAAGCTACCCAGGACACGCAGCTAATGAGAGTGGAGTTGAGCTGAGTTCTGACATAACAATATCACTACATTTGTCGGGGTATTTTAGTTTATAAATCATCTTCATGTTTCTCAAAAAAATGTAAGATTTCTATCAACTCTGGGAGTGGTTGGAGGAGATATATTGATACCCCTTCTAAGCTGCAGGAACTGAGGTTCATTCGGGTTAAATGATTTGCTTCGGCTTGGTAATAATACCCTGTATGGCCCCATAATTCAAACTTTTTATTTTCTATTGGGGTATAGCCGATTAACAACATTGTGATAGTTTCAGGTGAATGAAAGGGACTCAGCCATACATATACACGTATCCATTCTCCCCCAAACTCCCCTCCAGGCTGCCACATAACATTGAGCAGAGCTCCCTGTGCTATACAGCAGGCCCTTGTTGGTTATCCATTTTATTTTATTTTTATTTAATTATTTTTGGTCATCCATTTTAAATATGGCAGTCTGTACATATCCATCCAGGACTCTCTAACTATTCCTCCTCCTCATCCTTCTCCCAGGCAACCATAAGTTCGTTCTCTAAGTCTGTGAGTCTCTTTCTGTTTTGTAAGTTCATTTGTATCATTTCCTTTTAGGTTCCACATATAAGGGATGTCATATGATATTTCTCCTCTGTCTGACTTACTTCACTCAGTATGGTAATCTCTAGGTACACCCATGTTGCTGCAAACTGGCCCCGTATTCTTACCAAATGTTGAGGAAAGATGCTTATCAGGGAGGTGCATTTATGCCTGGAGACAACAAATCAGTGGCAGGTGACTCTGTACTGAGAAGTGGCTAATAAGGAAAAAGACTTTTGAACAGAGGCAACTTGACTCAAGGAATTGACTTCACAGATACTAAAAGAGCTGAAAGGGGCTTCTCAGGTGGCGCTAGTGGTGAAGAAAACCAGCCTGCCAATGCAGGACATGTAAGAGATGCAGGTTCGAGCCCCAGATAGGGAAGATCCTCTGGAGGAGGGCATGGCAACCCACTCCAGTATTCTTGTCTGGAGAATCCCATGGACAGAAGAGCCTGGTGGGCTACAGTCCATGGGGTTGCAAAGAGTCGGACATGACTGAACAACTTTGCAAAAGAGCTGAGAAGCCCAGCAGGGAAGAGTGAAGCAACCCAGAGGTGTGCAAGAGCTCTACAGGGCTGTGGAGGGAGGGTGATCTGTTACCTGAGCTCAGATACCTGGGTCATGTGGTGAAAACTAGAACCATGGTAACCCGGCCAGCAAGAGTTGGAGCCCCAGAGAAGCTCCTGGTTCCAGAGACCTCATAGGGTGGAGAAGGAGACGAGAAATACCCTGGTCTCTCCCTTCTTCCCATCCTCCTGGCTCCTTCTGGTCCTTTCTCCCAGGAGACCAAACCCTCAGCCTGCATTGCAAATAATCCTGTATCCCAAAGACAAAGTGAGCCCAAGTCTATTACAGAAAGGAAAGTTCTCTGTGAGGTCTAAGTAACAGGCGGGTTCTTCAGTGTCAAGGCCAGCAAGGACCCTGGAGGTCACTGGGCTGAGTCCACACATGCGTGTGCACACGGGCGACATCCCATCATAGACACCTCCTCCTGCCCACCTGATCTGCAGTGTTTACAAACATTTGTAACAGTTAAAACTGACACAGTCGCCCAACTACAGCCTCAGCCTAACACTCTCTAGTCGTTCCTCCACTTCTCTGCTTTTTTTTTTTGATCACAGTACTGATCACCACCTGATACATGAAATATTTGACATTTAATTGTTCATTAGTCACTAAAACAGAAGCTCCATGAGGACAGGGATTTTTTCCAGTTTTGCTCACTATTTTACCCTGCTGCCTATAAGAGTACCTGACCCTCACTTGGCACTTAACAAACAGTTATTTGTTGAATGAATAAATTTTATATCTAGAGATTTCACACACAAGAGTCTGGATTGCTGGTTTTCCTTAAAAACCTGGCAACTCTGGTTCACATCGATGCATGACGGGTGTGCTCAGTCACTCAGTCGTGGCCGACTCTCCAGCCCCACGGACTGTCGCCCACGAGGCTCTTCTGTCCATGGGATTCTCTCCAGGCAAGAATACTGGAGTGGGTTGCATTTCCTCCTCCAGGGAATCTTCCCGACCCAGGGATTGAACCCACGTCTCCTGCATCTCCTGCACTGGCAGGTGGCTTCTTTACCACTGCATGACAACTGCCTGGAATCACTCTTTGTAGATGGGGACTTGAGTTCTCACTCCAGTTAGCCTACGCTTGCCTCAGTCTGTCACCCATTTTCATCATGTGCCTGGCTGCTTGTAGGCATCTGAAAAGGTCACCGTTGATAGATCTAAACTGCTCATTCTACGTATGAGTAAAGAGACAAAGGCACAGACCTCTGGCTCTTAGCTGCTTAAACAGTCCAGACTCTAGTTGAGGGTTTTGTGTAATGATCGTGTAATGGGTACCTGGCCTTGGCCGCCCAGACAACATGGTTTCTTAACAAAAGAAGCACTGGGTGGGGAGCTCAGAATCCAGCCAGGAGGAGCACAAAGTACCTGTCTGCAAGGAGCTTATCACCCAGGGGCAGATTCCTTGTTTTCAGGGAGGAGTCTAATCTGCCTGGGTGAGCACTGATGTCAGTTTGGGGGAAAACTGCTTTGATGCCTCACTCATCCTGTATTCCAGGCACCCAGTTCTGAGAGTTCCATTGACCAACAAGCCATTTCACAGCTCTGAGCCTTTGCACAGGCTCTTTTCGTTCCTGAGCATTCCTGCATATCCCCGAGGCCCAGCTGAAGGCACTTCCTCTGCGAAGGCCTCACCGGCACCCACTGGCAGAATTGGACTGCTCCTTGCTAGGTGCTCCTGGCATTCCACAGTTACCTCCACGCGGCACGGATCTTGTTCTTTTAAACTCCGCTCTCCACCAAGGACGGTTTGGGAGCTTCTTAAAGATAAGCACTTTTTCAGTCCTTCCTGCAACCCAAGACCTCGCAGTACACAAACATTCAGAATGTTTGTAATGTATAAATGGACCCGTGCATTCAACAGGCGCAGCCCATCTCGTTAAGCTGGGATTCTCCCCTCAAACCCATCCTGTCTCTTTGGCCCCCCTCCTCCCAGCAGAGCCCCCTTTCCGGTCCTCAACAGCCCTGTGGGCCTACCTTGTCCCCTTTGCTCAGAACCTGCCAAGGCCAAGTCTCCACGCTCCCGAACAGCGAGTTCCTGATCATGCCCAACATGGTGTCGAAGCGGTGCTCAGGACGCGCGGGGAAACGCTGGGAAGTGGAAAAGGGCTGGAGCTGCCGGCGGAGGCAGGGCTCCCGGGCGAGCGCGGGTGGGTGGGGCGCGGAGGATGGGCGTGGCCCTTATAGGAGTGGCGCACTGGGCTCCGCCCCTCAGAATGCGCTCGGGGTGGCGGGAGGGCGGGGCGCAACTAGTGGGGTTGGCCAAGATGGGCGGGGCGTCTCGGCCTCCGCCCCTCGGAACGCGCTCGGAGGAGCGGGAAGGCGAGAGGGGCGGAGCAGGGACTGCGCTCCGCCTCCGCCCGGCAGTCCGCCAGTATCCCGCGGGGGAACCGGTTTCTGCCAGTCCAAGCCTCCAGTACTGACTGACTGCTTTGCCTGGATACAGAGGCTCCCCAGGGCGGGCCTTAGGTAGCGGTGGTGAACACCTGTCCCCCCACACCCCCAATCTCTCTCCCCTCCGCGTCCTCTCTCTGGTACTTGGGCGCCAAACTGCAGACCCTCCGGATTCCTCGCGTGCTTTGCGGGGCCTCCACCCACCAGGCTCTGTACCCAGGCAGGTACTGTACCAGCTTCACAGTCTTTGTAGCTCTCGCCCCTAGGGACCCCCGACTGCCGCATCTCCACCGATAGAGGTGCTAGTTTGCCCCCCACCTGCCCCCCTGCCCTTCCACCTTTCATCCAGACTGTTGAAAAAGCATATTAACTAGATTTCTATTTAGCACTTTCTTTATCCAACCCGTTTTAGTCACAGATAATACGTTAATTTCTCAAATCACAGCTTTTCGGATTTAATTCTATTCAGAACATTCTAACCAATTATATTACCATTTATTGAGTGTCTGCTGTCCTTACCAAATATTTTACAAACATTATCTCTCCTCATCACACCACTAAACGTATTTTATAGTCATTTTACAAAGCAGGAACCCGAAGTTCAACATGATTATGCTTTCTGCATATTTGCCCACTGGTTACGCTGTCATCTGGGACTGTCAACCTAATTGTTTGCCTCCTTTGTGCAGGCTTTTCTGAACCAACACCGAGGAACCTCTTGCTGTGCCTGTATCTTGGGATGAAAGACCTTGAACCCGAGTTGGGTAGTGGGAATCAATAACGGTGATACTAATGACTTCCAGTTTTATGGTAACAGATATTAACTTTATTACCTGTGGATAAAAAGGCTTACTTTTTGACAAATATTTGTTGATTGCTATAAAATAACTGGCCACTTAATTATTTTATATTTTCTTGACTTTTATAAGATGCCATTGATTTTATAAGAGGCATGTTATTTTACGTCCCATTAACATAGAACACAAATGCTAACAAGTTAACTGTGATGTTCAGTTGATTTTATAGCATCCAGAGATATTAAAATGTGAAGTAACGTGCAGGTTGCAATTCATAAGAAATTGTATGTTGCTCTCAAGAGTCCCTGAGAGGGACTGCTCATAGCCATGTCCTTTTGTTATAAATGAACATCTTCAAGGGTAAAGATCTATTTTGCTTTAGCCTTTTCCTCACTCACAACAGCCAGGGGTTGCATAATGACTGTCGAATGATTAACAAAGCTGGTCTTGATATTAGAGCTGATCATCTCTTTTAGTTACTAAACTAGGTACAGTGAAAAGGGGCCTAATTCTTCATGGCAAATAGATGGGGAAACAGTGGCTGACTTTATTTTTCTGGGCTCCAAAATCACTGCAGATGGTGATTGCAGCCATGAAATTAAAAGATGCTTACTCCTTGGAAGGAAAGCTATGACCAACCTAGACAGCATATTAAAAAGCAGAGACATTACTTTGCCAACAAAGGTCTGTCTAATCAAGGCTATGGTTTTTCCAGTAGTCATGTATGGATGTGAGAGTTGGACTATGAAGAAAGCTGAGCGCAGAAGAATTGATGCTTTTGAACTGTGGTGTTGGAGAAGACTCTTGAGAGTCCCTTGGACTGCAGGGAGATCAAACCAGTCCATCCTAAAGGAGATCAGTCCTGGGTATTCATTGGAAGGACTGATGTTGAAGCTGAAACTCCAATACTTTGGCCACCTCATGTGAAGAGCTGACTCATTGGAAAAGACCCTGATGCTGGGAAAGATTGAGGGCAGGAAGAGAAGGGGGCGACAGAGGATGAGATGGTTGGATGGCATTACCGACTCAATGGACATGGGTTTGGGTGGACTCCGGGAGTTGGTGATGGACAGGGAGGCCTGGCATTCTGCGGTTCATGGGGTCGCAAAGAGTTGGACACGACTGAGCAACTGAACTGAACTGAATTCTTCATGTGGTCACGTAGCAAAAACATTTAGGAATCAGAAAACATCTGTTCAGAAGATTGCTGGCCTCAGATTTAAAAAAAAAAATTTATTTGTTTATTTTTGACTGTGCCGCGTCTTTGTTGCTACACGGGCTTTTGTCTGGTTGCAGCGAGGAGGGGCTACTCTCTAGTTCCGTGCACAGGCTTCCCATTGCTGTGGCTTCTCATGTTCCAGAGCATGCTGGTTTCAGGAGTTGTCGCTCCTGGGATCTAGAGCACAGACTCAATAGTTGTGTCGTATGGGCATGTGGGATCCTCCTGGATCAGGGATTGAACCCATGTCTCCTGCACTGGCAGGTGAAATTCTTTACTACTGAGCCACCAGGGAAGCCCCAGGCCTCAGTTTTTACATCTGCAAAGTTGGGATTTTAATGTCAACAGTGCTGCTGGGTGGATTAAAAGAGCCTGTCAGGTACTTAAAAGCGCCGAGTACATTGTTAAAGGCTAGACTCTCTTCCTACCAACTCCGTCCCCCTCAACCCCAACCCCCTCTCCCCCCTCCCCGACATCCTCCCTGCCACCCCACCCTTCCAGCCAGCCAGTGAGTTGGTTTTGCTACCAAGAACTGAACCCGGCTGCTTCAAGACTATACCAAAGTTAGATCACAGTCTTAATAAAACAGCCCTGGCTTGGCTTGCTTTTTGATTGAGTTAAGTTGATCAGTCCCTTACCTAAATGCCTGAGAAAAAAGAGAGCCTCTCTGATGGAAAATATACTATCTGTAATCTCTACAGTTGTTACTTAAGCTACTGCTGCAATGACCATGCAAGTTAAAATCATGCCAAGTGATGTTAATATTTAGTGGGAAAAATAACTGTTGCATGACCTTTAAAATGTGTTGCCAAAACATTCAAAATGCTTATTATCAGTTAGAAATGTATAGTTCAGTTCAGTTCAGTTGCTCAGTCATGTCTGACTCTTTGCGACCCCATGAACCACAGCATGCCAGGCCCTTCTGTCCATCACCAACTTCCGGAGTCCACACAAACCCATGTCCATCGAGTCAGTGATGCCACCCAACCATCTCATCCTCTGTCGCCCCCTTCTCTTCCTGCCCTCAATCTTTCCCAGCATCAGGGTCTTTTCCAATGAGTCAGCTCTTCACATGAGGTGGCCAAAGTATTGGAGTTTCAGCTTCAACATCAGTCCTTCCAATGAATACCCAGGACTGATCTCCTTTAGGATGGACTGGTTGCATCTCCTTGCAGTTCAAGGGATTCTCAAGAGTCTTCTCCAACACCACAGTTCAAAAGCATCAGTTCTTCTGCACTCAGCTTTCTTTATTGTCCAACTCTCACATCCATACATGACTACTGGAAAAACCATAGCCTTGACTAGACAGACCTTTGTTGGCAAAGTAATGTCTCTGCTTTTTAATATGCTGTCTAAATTGGTCATAGCTTTCCTTCCAAGGAGTAAGCATCTTTTAATTTCATGGTTGCAATCATCATCTGCAGTGATTTTGGAGCCCAGAAAAATAAAGTCAGCCACTGTTTCCCCATCTATTTGCCATGAAGTGATGGGCCCGGATGCCATGATCTTAGTTTTCTGAATGTTGAGCTTTAAGCCAACTTTTTCACTCTCCTCTTTCACTTTCATCAAGAGGCTCTTTAGTTCTTCTTCACTTTCTCCCATAAGGGTGGTGTCATCTGCATATCTGAAGTTATTGATATTTCTCCTAGCAACCTTGATTCCAGCTTGTGCTTCCTCCAGCCCAGCGTTTCTCATAATGTACTCTATATATAAGTTAAGTAAGCAGGGTGACAATATATAGCCTTGATGTACTCCTTTTCCTATTTGGAACCAGTCTGTTTTTCCATGTCCAGTTCTAACTGTTTCTTCCTGACCTGCATACTGGTTTCTCAAGAGGCAGGTCAGGTGGTCTGGTATGACCATCTCTTTCAGAATTTTCCACAGTTTATTTTTAATTTTTTTTTCTTTTTTTTTATTTCTATTTTTTTTCCATTTATTTTTATTAGTTGGAGGCTAATTACTTTACATCATTGCAGTGGTTTTTGTCATACATTGAAATGAATTAGCCATGGATTTACATGTATTCCCCATCCTGGTCCCCCCTCCCACCTCCCTCTCCACCCGATCCCTCTGGGTCTTCCCAGTGCACCAGGCCCGAGCACTTGTCTCATGCACCCAACCTGGGCTGGTGATCTGTTTCACCCTAGATAATATACATGTTTCGATGCTGTTCTCTTGAAACATCCCACCCTCGCCTTCTCCCAGAGTTCACAAGTCTGTTCTATACATCTGAGTCTCTTTTTCTGTTTTGCATATAGGGTTATCGTTACCATCTTTCTAAATTCCATATATATGTGTTAGTATACTGTAATGGTCTTTATCTTTCTGGCTTACTTCGCTCTGTATAATGGGCTCCAGTTTCATCCATCTCATTAGAACTGATTCAAGTGAATTCTTTTTAATGGCTGAGTAATATTCCATGGTGTATATGTACCACAGCTTCCTCATCCATTGGTCTGCTGATGGGCATCTAGGTTGCTTCCATGTCCTGGCTATTATAAACAGTGCTGCGATGAACATTGGGGTGCACGTGTCTCTTTCAGATCTGGTTTCCTCGGTGTATGTGCCCAGAAGTGGGATTGCTGGGTCATATGGCAGTTCTGTTTCCAGTTTTTTAAGAAATCTCCACACTGTTCTCCATAGCG